CACCCACTTGCATTGTATCGCTTTCTTCCCATCAGGCAGCACCACCAGATCCCATGTCCTATTCTCCAGCAGACTCTGGTACTCAGCATCCCTAGAAGCCAGCCACTTGTCCCTATCTGGTCCAGCTAATGCCTCCTCCATGCTAGCTGGTTCCTCTGGTGCAGGGGCAAGAAAACAGTACGCAGGCTCATCCTCCTCATCCGGGTCATAGCCATGAGGTAGAATCAGCAATGCCTCTTCGGTCCCTAGCTGCTGCTCTGCTGCATCAGTTCCTGCAGTCAGCTTCTTAGTAGCCATACGGGTACGTCCTGGCCTGGAGACGGGTGTCTCCCATCCCTTCATAACGACACCCTTCGGCTTCTTAGTTTTTCCCTGCTGCTTCTCTCCTCCCTCGGGTCCAGCAGCTCCACTAGTGCTGCCGCCAGTTTCCACACCATTTTCTCCACCAGCAGATGCCTCCTGTACCTTCTCTCCATCACCATTTCCAGCAGCTGCCTCCTCTCCCTCCTCCCACACACTAGGAGTCAGGTCCAGCTGCATGGTGATCTGCTCCATCTGCTGGGACACCCTTGCCTCCGGCTGTTTCTCCCAGCTCCCATACATCATGCCCTCAATGAATTTCACATCCCTGCTGTCAAACAACACACCCTTGGATGGTTCCCACAGCAGCCATCCCTTGCTCTCAGCAGCCAGCCCCAAATGCACACACCAGATTGCACTCGCCCCCAACTTACTTCGGTAGGTCTTGGGGACGTGGGCGACTGCCATGCAACCGAACACCCTCAGCATGTCCACCGGCGGCTTCCTCCCAAGCCACCTCTCCAACGGCACCCACGAGTCATCCCCAACCTTGGTGAGCACCCTGTTCCTAGCGACAGTGGCGTGCCGGACAGCATGAGGCCACATAGAATTGCTCAGCCCAGATTCTATGAGCAGCGCCCTAGCTGTCTCCAGAATGGTCCGGTTTGCCCGTTCTGCTACACCATTGGACTGTGGGGTATAAGCCGTGGTCAGCTCTCTCTGGATGCCCTGCTTCTTGAGCCAGGCCGTCATTTCAGCTCCAAGGAACTCACCACCCCGGTCTGTCCTAATCCGCTTCACTACACACTCCGCCTGCTTCTCCACGAATGGCAGCCAATCGTCCCGTATCGTGGAGGCGGCGTGGTCCTTCTGCTTCAGCGGATACGCCCACATCAGCCTGCTCCAGTCATCCACAATTGTAAGAAAATACCGCTCCCCCTTGTGCCCTTGCACCGGCAGCGGCCCCACCAAGTCCATGTGGACCAGCTCCAAAGGCTTCTTGCTCCTGCCAGCCACACTATGGAAAGGGAAACGGGTGAACTTTGAAAGCAAACAGATTTCACAGTTGTCATCGGGTGGCTGTCCGTTCAGCTTCAGACCCTTAACGGCTCCATCCTTCTCCAGCTGCTTCAGCAAAGGCATTGCCACATGCCCTAAGCGCCGGTGTGCCGTTGCCCAATCTGTCTCCCCAGATCTGGCCGACACTTTCACACCAACCCCTCCAACGGCATTGCACTCCCCCTGGGATGCAGACCCCTCTCCAGCCTGCCCCCCACCATGCCACGCCAGGGCCGGCAGCTGCCACATAGATCTGTACACGTCCTTGCTCTCGTGCAGATCCCAAAGCACCCGATTGCCCAGCTTCCCCTTATAAGTGCGTGCCCCATCCGTGTTGGTGTTCACCCCAGCCTTGCCAAGCTTACGGAGGGAGATAAGATTGGCCTTCAGGTCGGGGACGAAGAGAACGTCGTGCAGCACCACCGGCTTGCCATCCGCTCCCTTAAACGCAGCTCGTCCCGCACCAGCCACCTTCAACATGTGTCCAGAGGCGGAGCACACTTCATTGATCGGTGCAGCTCGTACTTCGTCCAGCAGGTCCTTGCGCGGCGTCATCGTCCAAGCAGCGCCTGTGTCCAACACCCAATAGTCTAGGGGGTGCAGCTCTGCTCCAACTTTGGCAGAGGCGTCTCCTTGCTCCCCCTTGTCTCCCACATGGAAGAATTGGCCCGCGGTGCACTCCTTCTTCTCCGCACCGCCGTTGCCCTTCGGGTTGTTGTCGGACGAATCAGCGACCATGTTGGCGCCGTTTTTCTGGTTCCTCTGCGCGCCGCCATCCTGGTGACGATTCTGGGGGGTCCATCCATCGGGTTTCTTATAGCACAAAAACCAGGGGTGCCCTTCCTTCTCACAATACCAGCAACTCCCTTTCATTTTGCCACCAGCACCCGACTTGCCCCCACGTCCAGATTTCGCACCGCGACCCCAACCGGTACCTCCTTGTTGGTCGTTGGAGTCGTCGTCTTTCCTTGCACCGCGTCCAGCACCACCAAAGCCACGTCCTCTGCCACGTCGGCTCCCTTGCATCCCGTAGCCGCTGCTGCCGTCGTCTCCACCCCTCAGTTGGCGGCGACGGAAGTCCTCCTCCAGAATCTTCGTCCGCACCCACTCGAGCGTCCACAAGCTCTGGTTCTGCGGCAGGCTCAATCCGCTCGTAAATTGAAGCCACGATTCCGGCAGCAGTGAGAGCATCTTCAAGCACTTGGTCTGCTCCGGGTAGGTGATTCCCGCGGTCGCCAACTTCGCGTAGAGGTCGCGCATCTTGTCCAGGACTGGTTGCACCGGCTCTCCCTCGCTCAGGCGCAACGCGGACAGCTCCCTCTCCAGCATCAACGTTGCGACAACGGAGGTCGGGGCGTGCAGCTCCTTCAACACGGTCCACGCCTTCGGACCGCATTCAACCTCCGGCAGCAGGTGCATGACGTGGTGACGCTGGTTCAGCTCCAAACTCTGCGACATCAAATAGTAGCCAGCCGAGGAGCGCTCGTCCCAATCTTCCTGCAGCGTGGGGTCACTCGGTCTAGGCTCCTCCCCAATCATTAGTTTCAGCAAACCGATCTGACGGAAATATAATTGCATTTTCCAGGCCCAATCATCATAGCCCTCACCATTGAACTTCTCGACGGTGAAATTCTTCAGCACCTCCTTGACAAGCGAGCCCTGGTTTGTTCGCGCTCCCCTTGGCGCTGAAAGACCAGAATCTTGGCTGCCGCTACGATCTTGGGCTGAAGATTCACCAGCTCCCGCCGAGGTGTTGCCCGCCATAGCTACCTATAACGAGGATCACTATAACGCAGCTCTGATACCAGCTTATTGGTGTAAGGGCCTAATAAACTCAAGCTATTAGGACTTAATCAAACTTAAAACCTCTCCTCGGGGTCACCTCCAAGGGTCCCTGGGTGCCTGGTACAAGACCAGCCCCTATCCTCGGGTCCGAGTTTGTAGAGAGAGGGATCAAGAAGGACTTAGTCAAAACAGCAAGAGCACCTTGAACGTCGCGCAGCGTGCCGTGCAGACCGTCGGTCGGATTAAGCTGAGAATTCGCTATATCGAAGCTCGCTCCAAGAGCTTTAAAATGAGCCAAGTTGCCTCGCGAAAAGTTCTGCCATTACTAAGTTATGGCTCGGACAGCGTTTGCCTAGCGTTGGAGTGCTAGCATACTAGCGTTGACTCGGGTAGCATTCCGCCGTCGAATAGCGCAGAAACGAAATTCCAGCGAGGAAGGAATTCGCATGAATCAATTGACTATCTTCAGGTACAAACAGAGAAGGATTAAATAGTTCTAGCTAGCAAGGACCTTGGGAATCAACCTGGGAACAACCAGGGATGATCCCAAATAATTCCAAGCAACAGAACCAACCTGGCTGGACAAAATAGCAGGTGGTAGGTTGGTAAACAACCTCTGGTTCTGTTTTTCCAACCTGGGAAAACAACAACCAGGTTCAGGTTCTAAAAACAGAACCTGTTTTGTCTTTGCCCAACCAGCCAAATGCTGGTTCCGCTGGTTTCCCCTGGCCTTGTAGCATGCAGATACAGACAAACAACATCCAACCTTCACCTAAATTGTACCCCTATAGTGCCTTCCCTGCTACACTATAGTTAACCAAACAAAACAGTACAATTTCGAGTTGGATAGAACTGAATCTGCGCAATCAACTCAACCGAACTGCAAAGCTTCCATCTTGGGTTCCTTTGCGAGCTCGTCCTTCCTGCTTGCACTGTTCATAGCGCATACAATGTTGTGCCGAAGCGCACATTGCGCGAGTACCTGCAAATGCATCAAGCGAAAAATGCGAAAGCAAACAAACACACGAACACACCATTCACACGCAAATGCATTCGCACACGCATACTCGTACAAACAGACGGCAGGATGTCGTGCAATGTGCATTTGTACCCAACACTAGTTAGCAGTCTAAGCACTTGGAATCAACTAGGTGAACGAACGCAAAGATCCCTCTCACACGCCCTTCCCCGTGGTCAAGATCTTGTTGTACAAGTTATCTCCGCAAGGAGTGGTATTAAGAGTACATGCGTTACTTAGCAGTATGAGTGGTACTAAGAGTAAGTGCGATACTTTGCCATATGAACAGTATTAAGAGTAAGTGCGTTACTTAGTGATATGAGTGGTACTAAGAGTAAGTGCGTTACTTAGTGATATGAGTGGTACTAAGAGTAAGTGCGTTAGTTAGTCATATGAGAGGTACAAAGGGTAAGTGCGTTACTTAGCCATATGAGTGGTATTAGGAAAAAATTGCATTACATAGCCATATGAGTGGTACTAAGAGTAAGCGCGTTACTTAGCTATACGAGTGTTAGTAGGAGTAAGTGCGTTCCTTAGCGATATGGGTGGTACTAAGAGTAAGTGCATTACCTAGTGATATGAGTGGCACTAAGAGAAAATGCATTACTTAGCCACATATGTGGTGCTAAGAGTAAGTGCGTTACTTAGCGATATGAGTGGTACTAAGAGTAAGTGCTTTACTTAGCCATATGAGTGGTACTAAGAGTAAGTGTAGATGAGTGTAAAGGGGATGTCGTGGATGTCGTGGATGGTGATGATGCGGTCGAAGAAGAGGCGAGCAGTTGCTTCAGCTGTAGCTGTGGCGTTGGTGAATTTCTCGACCACTACGAGGTTGACGTTATGCCCTAGTGAGGTCGAAGGAAGTCATAAAGTCGAGGCTAACGACCTGCCATGGCTGCTCTGGTATTGGTAGAGGCTGGAATAACCCTACTTTTTCCGGCTTGCGACTCTTCATCCACTGGCACGTGTCGCATGAGGTGACGAACTGTTGCACGTCTGCTGCCATCTGGGGCCAGTAGTAATACTTTGCTATTCTCGCTAACGTCTTGTTGCTCCCGAAATGTCTTGCGTATGGTACGTCGTGAAACTCTTCCAATAGGATCTGCCGCAGCGGGGCGTAGTTCATGATCTTTCCTGTGCCCTTTCTTACCGCTAAGTCTTTATCCCACTGTAACAGCTTCTTTTTTTTGTCGTTGCTACGGAGTACCTATGCTGGATAGACCCTTGAGCAGAGGGTCCATCCAGTTGAGCTAGGTGCCTGCTATATGACCTGGGCGGCTTAGTTAGCTTTGTTATGAAGCCCAGGTTTGTAGACGATGTCGTAGTGGAAGTGGGTCTCCAAGAAGTCCACCCACCGCACCTGTCGTCGTGAGAGCGTCGGCTGCGACTTCAGGTATTTGAGGCTGCAGTGGTCAGTATAAACTCCATACCTCCACGCCTTGAAGGCTACGACTATGGCTAAGGCTCCCTTGTCGTGAATGGGGTAGTCCAGTTCTGCTCCGTATAGCTTTTTACCGAGGCAAGCGATAGGCTGCAAACCGTGTTCGTGATCCTGCATCTGTACTGCTTCGATGGCCTGGTCACTAGCGTCTGCTTCAACTACATAGTCCTTGTCTGGGTCTGGTAGAATGTGTGTTGGCGCAATAGTCAGTGCTGTCTGTAGCTGTTCCATCGCTAGCTGATGAAGAGTATCCTATTTGAAGGGTGTATCCTTTTTCAGTAGGTCGGTCAGTGGCGCTGCTATCTTAGCGTACTGCGGCACGAACCTGTTGTAGTAGTTGGCGAAGCCTAGGAACTGCTGCAAATCCTTCATGTTCTCCGGGACTTTCCACTTCTTAATGGCTTCGATTTTCGACGGGTCCACGTGTATGCCTTCCGCGCTCACCATGTGCCCGAGAAACTGCACCTTCTTAAGAGCGAAGTCGCTCTTTGACATCTTTACGTAGAACATATTTTTTCCGCTGGATCTCGAACACCTTCCGCAGATGCTCCACGTGCTCCTTCATGTTCTTGGAGTAGATGAGTATGTCATCCAGATACACTACTACGCACTCGTCCCGCTGGGGCCGTTGGATATGGTTCATCTCCGCCTAGAACATGGCTGGTATGTTGCAGAGTCTGAACGGCATCACCAAGTATTCGTAGGAGCCGTATCTCGTATGGAGCGCCGTTTTGTGGATCAAATTATGCATCTTAATGTGCCAGTAACCCGATCGGAGGTCCAGCTTCGAGAAGACCGTTGCACCACGCAGTTGGTCCAGTGGATCGTCTATGCGCAGTATGGGATATTTTTGTCTTACTATCTCCTTGTTCAGTGAGCGATAGTTGATGCACATCCGTAGACTGCCGTCTGGTTTTGGGATGAAGAGACTTGGTGCACCGTAGGGAGAGGTGGATGGGCGGATCAGTTGTCTGTCCAGTAAATACTCGATCTGTTTTTTCATGTCTGTCAGTTCTGTCGGGCTCAGCCGGTATGGTGCACGTGAGACGGGTTTCGCACCTGGTTCCTCCACGATCTCGTGCTCCTAGGTGCGCGCTGGAGGTACGCCTGCAGGTAGGTCGTCGGGCATTATATCCTTGTACTGCTCCAAGACCTCCTTCACTGCTGCAGGAAGCTCCGAACTTGGCTTCTCCTCCTCTGCTGCTGCCATGACCAGTGCTAAGTAACCCGTGTTGCCCTCGTTCACCGTCCGTTCGAACTGTGTCAGTGTCGTTTCCGGAACGTCCCCTGTATCTGTCCAGCTTCTCAGCTCCACTCTTTTCTCGTTGTTGTATATGCACGCCTTCGAATTGACCCAGTCGATCTCGGGGTTGAACCGCTTCAGAAAATCTCGCCCCAAGATGAAATCTAACCCTTTGATGTTCGTGATCGGCAACGTCGGCTTCCATCTCAACGCACCTATGTGCAGCTGCAGTGATGCTTCGCCGTGGATGGGAAGCTTCGTACCGTCCACCATTGTTGCTGAAAACCCGATCTCATCCGCTTTCTCTCCAACTTTCTCCAACGTCCCGCGGTCACACACCGAGTGGGACGCACCGCTGTCCACCATCGCCTGGAGGCATCGCCCGTTGCAGATCACCTCGAGGAGTAGTGGTTGTTGCCGCTCCTAGTAGCCGCAGATGGTCTCTCTTATAGGATCAAAAGGTATGTCGAATAGATCATCCCTAGGTCCTGCGCTCGAAGCTGCTGTCTCAATATCAGTTTTCAACTGAGCAGGGTTAGAAGGATTTATCCGAGGCCGATTCAGCTTCGTCTTGGCCTGGAACCTTCCCCTAAGCCTTTGCAGCTGTGTAGGCTTGTCCTGTGGGTAATAGGGAGCCTTAAAACAATGATGCGGAGAGAGATTATTAACTCATAGGAACGTACGACCCTTTTCAACGCTCCGGATTGGTCTGCCCAACTTCTCAGGTACCTGAGTAATATTTAATGGCTTTTTCTTAGCCTCAAAATCTCCCTTAAATTTCTCAAAGGCTTGAAAATCACGAGAAGTAATATTCTTAGTTAAAGTATCTTTGTAGGATAACTTTAACGAATTCTTACTTTTGTGGGTGTTCGGCTGGAGTTTCCTGGTCGGTGCAGAGTCTTGTTTCGCGGAGCCTCCATTTGTCTTGGTGATTTCCCCTGTTGCCGGCCGGTCGTAACATTTTAAATTCGCGCCATCATGTTTTCCGTTTTTAGCCTGCTCCGAAGTCGCCACGTTGTCACCTTTTCGCCTTTTCCGGATCTTTTTGTGATCGGTAGATCGATCCGCGGCTACGGGCGATGCTCGTTTTTTTACTCCAAAGGTGCCGCTCTGTTGTTGCCCTGCAGCGCTGCTCGTGCCTTCTTCAATTTCCAACACGCCAAAAGTCGATGTGTTGCAGTATCGCAAAATTCACATTTATCGTATTTTGTCGGCCGCTGCTTCGCGTCAATCTTGTCGATATTCATCGGGTCGGCGGTCGTGGATGGTGCCGATCGTTTCGTCTCGAATGATCTGTTCGCCACGTGGCGTCGTGTCTCGGGTTGACCTTGCGTCAGCGCATCAAATCTCTCTGCTGCACACACCATGTCGCGGTAGCTGTTGTAGTTCGCTGCAATCACCTGTCGGTGGACTTCCATCCTTCAGTATACGCTTGGATTTTTTCCCCTTCAGTCAGGTCGGTAATTTGATGAAGAAGCTCTCCATCTGCTGCGTGTACTGTGTTACACTGCCGTACTGTTTATGCCGATGAATCTGCTGCCGCGCCATGTAGCTGGAATTGATCGGTTCGAAACGTTGAATTAAAGCTTCCCGAAACTGCGTCCATCACCCTCGCCTCGGATCTTACTACTGTTGTAAATCCACTCGAGCGCCGGGCCTCGCAACAGTGTTGCTGCGAGCCGAATCCTCATTGCATCGTGTGTCGGGGTCATACAGCCAACGGGCTTGAAGTAAATTTCGAGGGTCGCAATGAATCGACGGACGTCGGTGTCTCTCGCATTCGGATTGAACGTCTCCGGTAGCCTCGGACGTGCCACCTCAAGATTCACTAGCGATGCTGCTGGGTGAAGTGTCGGTGTCTCCGGTGCGCCTGCTACTGTCGCTGCTGCTGTGGCGGCTGCCGACTGGGTCGCAAGAAGCTTCTCTGCCCGGAGGAGTGCCGCTCGCATCTGGTCCAGGTCGGTGCGTAACTCCGTAATTTTTTGTATGGAATTATCACTATTTTCCTCCATCTGGCGATTTACAGTAAGATTTTTTACGGAAATAATTTATTTCTAGGCGCTGGTCAACTTACTGCGAGTAGAATCAACTATAGAAATGACAGGTGCTGATTTTGTTGGTTGCCTAATTCTCCCTTAGCCGAAATTCGCGTCGGACCTTGGCCGTTGAGCAAAAATTTGATACAACACCCCAGAGTCCAACTTTTTTTGGGCGAAATTCTCAAGGCGATTTTTTTTGCGAAATTCCAACGTTTTTGGGCGAAATCCAACTTTTTTTATATTGAACCTGAGGAGTGTTCGAAAACCGGTTCGAGGGGGACGTTAAAAAATAGCGCGGAACTTGTTTAACGTACCCGAAATCGGCGCTTTCGTCCTCTCCCCCCCGGTTTTAGAAGCTAGGTTTAAGCGGTCGAAAACATCGCGTGTAAACATGCTCTTATTTTCAAGTGTGAGGATCTAGGATCGAGCTTAGAAAAGTGGGTTTAAATTGAAAGAATCACCTGGGTACAACATGATGTTATATATAGGCTCGACACAAGGCCCAGTAACCAGGTGTTACGGGAAGGTTGCGAAGGTTGCGAAGCGTCCTGAGCAGAGCCTTCCCGAATTTGGTAGAAGGCAATTCGGTAGCAACCGAAAAGCCAAAAATTCGGCGTACGCAACCTAGGTTGGTGCTATAACCATAATAAAACATATGAAGCACCTAGCCTAGGAAATCAAGCAATTCATAGTTTCATAAAATAAACCTATGCTAGAAATAGCGTAACAATGTCTAGGCAAGCAAGCATAGCTAGCATAAACCGTCGTACTCTCACAATATGAGTGGTACGGTTACTTAGCGATATAAGTGGTACTAAGTGTAAGTGCATTACTTATAGATACAAGGGGTATTAATACTAAGTGCGTTACTTAACAATATAAGTGATACTAAGAATAAGTGCGTTACTTAGCCATATGAGCGAAACTAAGAGTAAGTGTGTTACTTAGCCATATGAGTGGTACTAAGAGTAAGTGCGTAACTTAGCCATGTGAGTGGAACTAAGAGTAAGAGCCTTACATAGCAATCTGAGTTGTACCAAGGATAAGTTCATTATTTATCGATATGAATGGTACTAGGAATAAGTGCGTTATAAGCGATATGAGTGTAATTAAGAGCAGGTGGGCGCCGCCCTTGGCGTCTGGGAGGTTGAACGCCGACCTGGGCGTCTGCTCGGCGTCCCGGGCGCCTGGACGCCGACCTGGGCGCCTGGACGGCGTCCTGGGCGAGTGGACACCGACATGGACGCCAGGATGCCAGATTGGTGTAGCCGGCGACCGACTGGGCTGGACGACCAGGCGGGGTTGCACGGTTGGTCGACCGGGATACCCGGGCGACGTGTGCGAAGGTCGCCGGGGGTGGGTTCTTCTAGGATGACCTCCGGGGTAGTATCTTGAGGTCGACGTGGCCGGTGGGCGCCGTCACGGGCGGAATGTTTGCACTGGACATGTAAGAGGGCGTTGATGCCAACCAGCCGTCCACTCCTGCGAAGCAGGTGCACTGTTGTCCTGCGGGTGCAACGCTGTACAGCCGACTTGCCGCAGAATTGGCACACCGTGGACTTGCAACGTTGGCGAACCGCTACTCTGCAACGCTGGAGCGGTGCGAGCTCTGCTGCGCTAGATCGCGGTCGAGCATGCTGCGCTGAAGGTCGACCAGCAGCATAGCTAGCTCTGAATTGGTCTGTGTTCCCAGTAATGTTGCAGTTATTCTGAGCACTCGTTGTCACATTTTCCTAGTGAAACTCGTGCCATTTTCCCCCGTAAAATAGCGAGCAGTCTGAGCACTGGAATCAACTAGGTGACCGCCCTTCCCCGTGGTCAAGATCCCGTTGTACAAATTATTTCCGCAAGGAGTGGTATTAAGAGTAAGTGCGTTACTTAGCCATATGAGTGATACTAAGAGTAAGTGATACTTAGCCATATGAGCAGTATTAGGAGTCAGTGCGTTATTTTTGTTAGGTGCAAATGCACATTGCACGACATCCTGCCGTCTGTTTGTACGAGTATGCGTGTGCGAATGCATTTGCGTGTGAATGGTGTGTTCGTGTGTTTGTTTGCTTTCGCATTTTTCGCTTGATGCATTTGCAGGTACTCGCGCAATGTGCGCTTCGGCACAACATTGTACGCGCTATGAACAGTGCAAGCAGAAAGGACGAGCTCGCAAAGGAACCCAAGATGGAAGCTTTGCAGTTCGGTTGAGTTGATTGCGCAGATTCAGTTCTATCCAACTCGAAATTGTACTGTTTTGTTTGGTTAACTATATGTTGGTGTAAGGGCCTAATAAACTCAAGCTATTAGGACTTAATCAAACTTAAAACCTCTCCTCGGGGTCACCTCCAAGGGTCCCTGGGTGCCTGGTACAAGACCAGCCCCTATCCTCGGGTCCGAGTTTGTAGAGAGAGGGATCAAGAAGGACTTAGTCAAAACAGCAAGAGTACCTTGAACGTCGCGCAGCGTGCCGTGCAGACCGTCGGTCGGATTAAGCTGAGAATTCGCTATATCGAAGCTCGCTCCAAGAGCTTTAAAATGAGCCAAGTTGCCTCGCGAAAAGTTCTGCCATTACTAAGTTATGGCTCGGACAGCATTTGCCTAGCGTTGGAGTGCTAGCATACTAGCGTTGACTCGGGTAGCATTCCGCCGTCGAATAGCGCAGAAACGAAATTCCAGCGAGGAAGGAATTCGCTTGAATCAATTTTACTATATTCAGGTACAAACAGAGAAGGATTAAATAGTTCTAGCTAGCAAGGACCTTGGGAATCAACCTGGGAACAACCAGGGATGATCCCAAATAATTCCAAGCAACAGAACCAACCTGGCTGGACAAAATAGCAGGTGGTAGGTTGGTAAACAACCTCTGGTTCTGTTTTTCCAACCTGGGAAAACAACAACCAGGTTCAGGTTCTAAAAACAGAACCTGTTTTGTCTTTGCCCAACCAGCCAAATGCTGGTTCCGCTGGTTTCCCCTGGCCTTGTAGCATGCAGATACAGACAAACAACATCCAACCTTCACCTAAATTGTACCCCTATAGTGCCTTCCCTGCTACACTATAGTTAACCAAACAAAACAGTACAATTCCGAGTTGGATAGAACTGAATCTGCGCAATCAACTCAACCGAACTGCAAAGCTTCCATCTTGGGTTCCTTTGCAAGCTCGTCCTTCCTGCTTGCACTGTTCATAGCGCGTACAATGTTGTGCCGAAGCGCACATTGCGCGAGTACCTGCAAATGCATCA